GATGCAGGTTTAATGAGGTCAACAAAATACCAGACACAATAGGGACTACATAAATGTAGGTGCTCTTTCTCCTCAAATCACCTTATCCAAGATTTATTTACTACTGTAACTGTGGTGACTTCCATTTTGTCACGTGGTTCATTTCATAACCTTTCCTGTTCTCTTGGAAACCAGTAAAATTTTGCTAAGGGTACTAACCTAATATTTGCCAAGGCTACAAAAAAAGTTGATGCTTTTGATAGAATCTGACCATCCCCTCCATACGGATCTGTCAAGATTAGTATCAGCTGCGGGAAATGGGTAAGCCCAAAGAAACATTGGTTAAACAAAAGATATTTATGTCTTTGTATTGGCCTCTTGGGATGACTGCAACAATGTACCATAAATTGGGTGACCTAAAACAACAGAAGTCTGAAATTAGGCCACGTTCACTCTGAAACCTGTCAGATAATTTTGGTGATTTGCAATGCTGCGTAACTCCTATCTCTACCTTTGTGGTCATGTGGTCTCCCTGTGTGTCTTCACATGACTAATTTACATTGATCATATTGGATTAAGGGCCAGTCCTACTTCAGTATAACATCTTAACTAGTTACATCTGCAGTGATGCTATTGGTAAGGTCACATTCTGAGGGACTAGGGATTAGGATTTCATGCCTAACTCGTGGAAACACAAGTCAACCATAATTCTCTCAAATTCAGTAACCTTGGAGGTAGTGAGATTAGGGTTTGTATGCAGTCCATATGATGTCAGGCACCTAGACATTGAGTCTTGTTGCTCTGCCATGAATGAATTCCATTACTAAGAACACTTTATGGTTCAAGATAGGAGACTGACCAACAAAAGACAAATTACCAAACTTAGGAAAGGAGACCACATCACTACTGATTCTACAGAAATTGGAAAGGATTATAAAGGAATATTATGAACAGTTTTATGCCAACTTAGGTGAAATGGACAAGTTTCTAGTAAAGCCCAAATTACCAACTGATTTAAGAACTAGAACATCTGAATAGGTCTATAACAAGTTGAATTAATAGTCTTCTCATGAAGAAATGTCCAGGCCCAGATGGCTTCCCATTAAATTCTGCCAAATATTTAAAGAGGCTTTCCCAATTCTCAAACTCTGAAGCTAGAGAAGGATCACTTCCTAAATGATTCTAAAACGAGTATTACACTTAAACCAAATTTAGAGAAAGATCACAAAAACTATTACAGACCAGTTTTCCCCCATGAACATTGACACGAAAGTTCTCAACAAAATAGTGTCAAAGCAAATCTGGTAACATTCTACATCCTGACCAAGTAGAATTTATCCTAGGAATGCAAGATCAGTTTACCATCCAAATGTTAATTACTATATAACATCACATGAGTAGAATAAAAGGTAAAAACCACACAATTATCCCAATAGGTACAAAAAAAGTATGTAACATTTTAACAAACTAGGAATAGAAGGGAACTTGGTCATCTTGAAAAAGGGATTGGACTGAAAAAGATGCTGAAGATCTGGAGCGAGGGAAAGATGTCTGCTCTTGCCATTTCTAAATTTTTTTTTAAGATTTTATTTATTTATTTGACAGAGGGCGATAGGGAACACAAGCAGGGGGAGTGGGAGAGGGAGAAGCCGGCCTCCCGCGGAGCGGGGAGCTAGATGCGGGGCTCCATCCCAGGACCCCGGGATCATGACCTGAGCTGAAGGCAGATGCTTAACCGTCTGAGCCACCCAGGCGCCCCTGCTCTTACCATTTCTTTTCAATATTGTACTGAAGATTCTAAGCAGTGCAGTTCGTAGAGGGAAGAAAAAGGAAAACCTGTATTCACAGATACTATGAACCTGTACATAAATATCAGGGAATATGTACACGCACACATAAATAACTAGAACTGATAAATGTTAAAACGTACAAGATAAATATACAAAAATCAGTTGTGTTCCTATAACAAGAACATGTGAAATGAAATTAATTACATTCACAATAGCATTAAAATGAATAAATTTAACAAAAGTGCAAGATATATACAATGTACAACAAAAGGTATTGCTAAGAGAAATTAAAGATGATCTAAATTAGAGGTTCTCAACCAGGGGTGATTGTTCCCACTGAGAGATACTTGGCAATGTGCGGAGACATTTTTAGTTGTCACAACTTGGGGGAAGGGATGCTTTTGGGATGTAGTGGTAGAGGCCAGAGATGCAGCCAAACATTGTACAATGCGTAGGACAGACTGAACAATAAATTATCTGGCCACACCAGGGTTGAATAACACCAAGGTTGAAACATTCTGATCTAAATAAATGGGAGAGGCATTTCACATTCATGGATTGGAAGACTGTATTGTCAAGATGCCAGTTCTCAAAATGACCTGTAAGTTCAATAAAAACCCTATTCCAGCAGCATTTTTGTGTAGAAATTGATAAGCAGGTCATAAGATGTATATGGATATGCAAAGGGTCTGGAGTAGCAAAACAATATTTTTAAGATTTTATTTGAGGGACGCCTGGGTGGCTCAGTTGGTTAAGCGACTGCCTTCGGCTCAGGTCATGATCCCAGGGTCCTGGGATCGAATCCCGCATTGAGCTCCCTGCTGGGCAGGGCGCCTGCTTCTCCCTCTCCCTCTGCCACTCCCACCACGTGTGCTCTCCTGCTCCCTGTCAAATAAAATCTTTAAGAAAAAAAAAGATTTTATTTGAGAGTGCATGTGAGAGAGGAGGGAGAGGGAGAAGCATATTCCCCAAGGAGCAGGGAGCCCGACATAAGGCTGGATCCCAGGACCCTGGGATCATGACCTGAGCTGAAGGCAGATGCTTAACCGACTGAGCCACTCAGGTGCCCTGCAAAACAACTTCTAAAAATAACTGGGAGGACTAACACTATCAGACTTCCCAACTTACTATAAACTATAGTAATCAAGACAATTTGTTATTGGTACAATAGGAATATAGATAATGAAACAAGAGTCCAGAAATTCTTACATCTGTGTCACTTGATTTTTGACAAAAGATCTTAAGGCAATCAGTGGAGAAAGGAAAGTCTAAATCATCCTGGGATAACTGTATATGTGTACGTAAAAAATCAGACGGGCACCTGGCTGACTGTGACACTTGATCTTGGGGTTGTAACTTTGAGCCCCACATTGGGTATAGATGTTACTTAAAAATTAAATCTTTAAAGAATAAACTTAGGCCTTTACCTCACACCATACACAAAAAAATGAACTCAAACTGGATCATGGACATAAATGTAAGAGCTAATACTTTAAAACTTCTAGAAGAAAATTTAGAAATTCTTCATGATTTTGTGTTAGGCAAAGATTTCTTAGATACAAGACCAAAAGTAGGATCCATAAAAAAGTGATAAGGGAATTTATCAAAATTAAAAACTTGCACCTCAAAAGACATTAAGAAAATGAAAAGACAAGATACAGATTGGGAGAAAATAGTTGTGACCCATATTAATAAGGGAATTCAGGATATGTAAAGAATTTAACAGTTCATTAATATGAAGAATTTAACATTTTATCAAAGAAGATGTAAGAATGGCTAATATGAAAAGATTCAAAATCATCAGGGAAATGCAGACTAAAGCAACAGTGACTATTATATACCAGATGTTGGTGAGGGTATAGAGAAACTGGAGCCCTCACACATTATTGATGGTAATGTAAAATGGTGTAGGCTAGTCTGGGTAAGTTTGACAGTTTTCTTAAAAAGTTGAACATAAATTTATCTTGTAACTTAGCAATTCCACTCCTAGGAATATATCCAAAAGTAATGAAAACTTGTCTACACAAAGGCACGTGGCAAACATTCAGCAGCATTATTCATAATGACTTTAAACTAGAAGCAGCATACATGTCCATCAGTTGGTGAATGGCTAAATATGTCATATCCACACAATGGAACACTATTCAGCAACATAAAGGAACAAACTGATAACATGGTGCAACACAAATGGACCTCAAAAACATGCTCAGTGAAAGAAGCCAGATGGAACACTAAACAGTATATGATTCCATGTATCTGAAATGTCCTAGGGCCTGGTGTGGAAGACCAGATTAAGTGCAAATGAGGAGGAAGGAACTTTTTTGGCTGATGGAAATGTTCTTGTGGAGAGAGACCAACTCTAAATTTACTAAAAATCATTGTAGCTTACAATGGATGAATTTTATATCCTGTAAGTTATTAGTAAAGCTAGTTTAAAAATGTTCATCAGGGAGGGCAGGGACATATTGTAGAGGCACTTAAGGCTTCCAACGCTCCTACCAAGGATAGTATACCAGTTTTCCTGATTTGTGGATTTAGGTTCTCAGATATATAGAGTCTTCAAGAACTACCGTATGCATTCAGAATATGCCCAGGGTGAGAAGCGTAAATGGCAAAATTATTCAGTTATACACAAAGGATTTTTTTTTTTTTGAATTTTTGGTTCCCATGATCTATGACAAAGGAGGCGCTCCCTTTTCCGAGGCGTCACATGAGGCTAGAGAAAACGGGTGCAATCGGTGAGTTTGAGTTCCAGCGTGGTGTGTTAGGAAAGGACAGGAGGCCAATGTGGCTATAGGGAGGGCTGAGGCCAGATGGCGTAGATTCATCTGATCTCTGTAGGAAGGCAGTAAAGCGTGGTAAAGAGTTCAGGCTCCAGTGGCCCGTTTGCCCTACCTAGTTCAAATCCCCACAGTCACGTAAGGGCTTTAGAGTAAGCACATATTTAAGCGCTCAACACGCACTTAAGTTAGCAAAAGAAGCAGGACGCTCGCACCCGCTCGCCGCTCTCCGCCGGGGGCCTTTCTCCAGGGCCCGGCTCTCCACGGCCCTGCTCTCCAGGGCGCCCGGAACGCCGGCAGTCACTATGGTAACGGCCACCTACTTCCGGAAGAAGTACGGCGCGCGGCGAGGGCCAGTCTGAGCCCTCTGCCCCCGCGAGTTGACAGAGGGGCCGCAGAAGCGCGAGTTTAGTGGGTGCTGTGGATTCCGCCGGCCGCCCCCCCGCCCAGGCCGGCCCCGGTGCCCTCGCAGGGCCGCCCGACTCAGCAGCCTCGCTGCCGCCAGAGCCAGCTCTTCAGGCCTGGACGCCGAGGCTGAGAGGCGGTGCGGCCATGGACTTCTCCAAGTTCCTGGCGGAAGACTTCGACGTGAAGGAGTGGATCAACGCGGCCTTCAGGACGGGTTCGAAGGAGGCGGCGGCCGGGAAGGCGGATGGCCACGCGGCCACGCTGGTGATGAAGCTGCAGCTGTTCATCCAGGAGGTGAACCACGCGGTGGAGGGTAAGGCCGAGCGGCCGGGACGGGCGTGGGGCGGCGGCGGTCCGCGCCCAGCGGTGGGAAGGCGGAGCCCCGACCGACCCTCCTCCAGACCTTTCGGGGGCAGCCGGGGGCCGGTCTCAGCTCGCTGCCGCCAGTCTAACGCTTGCCGAGGCTGGGGCTTGCTCTTCCACCCCTGGCGGTGCCATCAAGTTTCCTTTCAGGCCCAAGAGTGAATTTCAAGAATATTAACTAATCGTTACCTGGTTCTTACATTTGGCAAAAGCGTATCAGAGGCGTGTGGGAATGACACAAATCTGGGAAACGTTGTTTGAGCGGACCTTCATGTCCTTGAAGATGGGCTGGCCTGAATGGAGACTTGAACCATCTTTCAAGGATAGTTAATTATAAGAAATAATACACACCAGCAACCTTTTCATTAACTCCTACTCGATTTTTAGTCACAGTATGTTCACCGTATGTTCATTAGGTGCATACTGCACGCCAGTCTCTTTGCTAGGCTGCGTGGGAGAGATGGGTCCTACAGGGAAGCTTAAGACCCAGTAAATAAAATATTTTATAGATGGGTCCAGGGTTTAAGAAAAGGCTGATGTTGGAGGGAGGGGAGCTTTATTTCACTGCAGGTTCTTTATTGTTCTTTGCATCTAATACTCATTGAACATCTGCTACACCTGTGCCCAGAAATGGGCCTTGTGCAAAAAGGTTACTTTTCAGGAGCTTGCTGCCTTGTGGGGAAGATACTAAATGGTTAAATTACAATGAAGGGTGGCTTTCCTACAAGTAGGACCAGGAGTTATGAGAGCTGGAAAAAGTGTGCAGTTACCTCTAGTCTGGGAGAATCATAAAGGGTTTTCCCTGTGTTAGGCCTTGAAGGAAGACTTCATAGGGCAAAGAGGGGGGAGGACATTAATAATAATATGATAGCAATATTTGAGCCCTTGATAATGTGTCAGCCATTCTTTTAAATGCCCTATATGTATTAACTAAGTGGTTCTCAAACCAGGGGTGGTAATGTCACCTCCTTCCACCCCCACCATCCCCTGAGTATCTGGAAGTTGTTGGGAGTGCTTTTAGTCCTTGCAATGGGGAGGAATGTCACAATGACGGACAGTTAGTGGAAATACCCAGCGATGCTTAGTGTCCTGCATGCTTGGGATATCCTACACAATGAAGAACTGTCCTGGCCAAAACGTTAATGTTGCCCCTTCTCAGCCTAATTATCCAATTTAAACCTGGCTATAATCCTTAGAGATAAACACAGTTATGATTACCAAGTTATAGTTGTAGAGACTGTGGCTGAGTGAAGTAACTGACCCATCATCATATTTCTAGTTTGGATTTGAACCCAGGCATTGGTCCCAGAGCTCAGGCTCTTACCCATTATACCTTGTTACCTCTCTGGGATGAAAGGGAGAGAGAACAGCACATACAGAAGCATGTGGGTATAAAAAGGCCTAGCCAGTCCACAGAAGGGTGAGAAGTTCAAACACAGCTCCATCAGTAACATCAACAAACGTTAGTCATTAGTATTATTATTATAGGATCACACTTTCCCGGGGGGAGGGGGAGACTTCTGGAGGTAAGACAGAAAAGTAGATTGGGGTCAAACTGTGAAAGCCCTTTTTGCCCATCAGTTTATTTTATTCTTTACACACACACGCACACACGCACACACGTATGTGCATGCTCGTGTGTGCCATGCCCTGGAGCATGAGAGGCTTGGGTACTTAGCTGTGCCAGGCTTGATTATTCTTTACATACACACACACACACACACACATACACACACGTATGTGCATGCCCGGGGACGGGGGTGGGGGGCGCGCGCAGAGGGAGGGAGAGAGAATCTTAAGCAGGCCCAATCCCACACCCTGAGATCATGACCTGAGCCGAAATCAAGAGTGGGACACTTAACCGACTGAACCGCCCGGGTGTCCCCTTTTTGATTATCCTAAGGAGTTGGGAATTCGGCTCCTAGGCAGTGGGAAGCCTTCAGAGGTTTTTTGTTTCTTGTTTTTCAAAGATTTTATTTATTTATTTGACAGAGAGAGAGAGAGACAGCAAGAGAGGGAACACAAGCAGGGGGAGTGGGAGAGGGAGAAGCAGGCTTCCTGCTGAGCCGGGAGCCCGATGCGGGGCTCGATTCCAGGACCCTGGGATCCTGACCTGAGCTGAAAGCAGATGCTTAACGACTGAGCCACCCAGGTGCCCTGCCTTCAGAGGTTTAAAGCTTTCTTTTTATGGAAGGCGTGACAGGGCTCAAATATGCAGTGAAGAGAGGTTATTGCAGAGGCTCTAGGAGGGAATGTTGAGGGCTCCAAGTTGGGAGTTTGTTCAGTCATTCAGTCAACAAATAAATAAATAGGCACAAACTGTTTTCCAGGTTCCAGAGATACAGTGTCGAACAAGACCCAGCCCTAGGTTGGGTCGGTTAACAGGTCAAGTGGGGGACAGGGGGAGAAAAACCCCCAAACAGGGACCAGATGATGCAGGGATTTTAATGTCTCATTAAAGAGTTTGGATTTGATTTAAAATGAGTGTAAAGGAACGGTACCACGATTGATTCGGAAGGCAACTGTTCAGAAGAGTGGACTATCATCATAGTGGCTTCAACTGGGGTTGTGGCAGTGGGCATGGTAAGAAATGGGTAGATTTAAGATATTTTTAGGAGGAAGAATGGGAAGAACTTGCTGATGGATTGGAAGGAGGGACAAGAGGGGGAGAACATCAAGAATGATAGCAGGTTCTTGAACTGAATGACTGTGGGTGGAGGTGCCAAACATACAGTAACATTGAGAGAATTGTAGTGAACATCCATATGCCCACTACCTAGATTCTACAATTAACAATTTACTGTTCCTGCTTTATCACAAATCTATCCATTTACCTGTCCCTTTCTCCGTTCACCCATCTTATTTTTTGATGTATTTCAAAATGAGTTGCAGAGGTCAGTATACTTTACCCCTGTACATTTCAGTGGGTACCCTAAACATAATAGAATTCAGTACTTGTTTACAGCTCTTTTTTTTTTTTTTTTTTTTACTAAATAAAATTTACATAAGGTGAAATGCACAAATCTTATCTGATGAGGGCGCCTGGGTGGCTCAGTCGTTAAGCGTCTGCCTTTGGCTCAGGTCATGATCCCAGAGTCCTGGGATTGAGTCCCACATCGGGCTCCCTGCTCAGCAGGAAGCCTGCTTCTCCCTCTCCCACTCCCCACACTTGTGTTCCTGCTCTCGCTGTCTCTGTCAAATAAACAAATAAAATCTTAAAAAAAAAAATCTTATCTGATGAGTGTAATGAGTTTTGACAAATGTATACAGCTGGGATAACTCAAATCTCTGTCGAGAAGGACAATGTTACAATCACCTAAGAAAGTGCCCCCATTCCCCTTCACAGTGAAATCTGGCCCTTACCCTCCCAGAGGCAACCACTGCAAGTGATAGCTTTAAAATGGAAAAAAGAGTGGACTAAATTTGGTGTGGGGGGAGGGTTGTGGAGAAGGAAAAAGAGGTACACAGGGAACGGCAAGGACCGAAGAGTGACTTCGAGGTTTAGCAGGTGGAAGGCTGGGGCCATAACAATGTTGTTAAAAGTCAGCATTGTTCTAAGTCAGTCTCTATTCAGAAGAAATCCTTGTTCTATCTTTGTTTTCTTAGTCTTAGAACTTTACCCGGGGTCAGTGCTGGAAACACATTGTTATTTTATGGCACAGCTGGACAAACAGTTTCCTGAAATATTTCTATAAGATGTTAAGGTTCCATTCATCGCACTGGTAGAGCAGAAGACGCTGGACTTACTGGGTTGATTTCCCGATGAATTGCCCTTTAAAGGGTCCGGGGGTGGGGGGCGCGCCTGGGTGGCTCAGTTGGTTAAGCAGCTGCCTTCGGCTCAGGTCATGACCCTGGAGTCCGGGGATTGAGTCCCGCATCGGGCTCCCTGCTCAGTGGGGAGTCTGCTTCTCCCTCTGACCCTCTTCCCTCTCGTGCTCTCTCTCTCTCAAATAAATAAATAAAATCTTTTAAAATAAATAAATAAAGGGTCAGAGGGGTATGCTAGTAACTCTCCCAATTCCACATAACACATCATAGTGTGCAAATATGTGCAAATTGTATTCTATGTTTGGGACGTCTGTTAAAACAGGGTGGCTCAGTCGTGAAGCGTCTGCCTTCGGCTCGGGTCATGATCCCGGGGTCCTGGGATCGAGCCCCGCATCAGGCTCCCTGCTCCGCGGGAAGCCTGCTTCTCCCTCTCCCACTCCCCCTGCTTGTGTTTCCTCTCTCGCTGTGTCTCTCTCTGTCAAATAAATAAAACATTTAAAAAACAAAAACCATGTAGTTTCTTAATGTCACCTGATCTCCTACCAGACTTGTTAAATAAGAAACTCTGGCAGGTGCCGGGGGACCTGCATTTAACTGTGCCCCAGTTGACGCTGGTCGTCTGTGGACTCTGTTTTGAAAAGACCATGGAATGCAGACACTGGGGCCAGACACATGTAAGGCTTGGTTTCAGCACTGTGAAATCTTAGGGAAGTGACTCAACCTCTCTGAGTCTCAGTTTCCTTATTTGTAAGAGGTGACTGCTAATGATTCCTGTGGACATTACGTGATAGAATGTTTGTAGATCACCTGGGACGTAGCTGGCATTTACCCAGTGTCAGATTCTTTCATTTTCTCTCCTCACAAAGGGAGTTTCAATTTAACTCAGTGGTGGAAAAGCGTTGATTTGGGGTCAGGGTGATGGTTCCTTCCTTGTCAAATCCCATGGCCCACACCGATCAGACTGGGGAAGACATGGTCCTGGGAGAGCCCACCTCCCAGCCCACCTCTTCTGCACTCCCCATCGTCCACAGGCTCAGAAAACTGTGTGGTTGGGGGTGCTTTGGGGAAAATTCCCTTCCTGTCTTCTGATCTCTTCATCTTGTTCACTGGTGACTGGTCTGATTTTCACCTTTTGTTCTTCGGTTCTTGCTACAGAAACAAGTCACCAGGCTCTTCAGAACATGCCCAAAGTGCTCCGCGATGTTGAAGCCCTGAAACAGGAGGCGTCTTTTCTGAAAGAACAAATGATTCTTGTCAAGGAGGACATTAAAAAATTTGAACAGGATACGTCTCAATCGATGCAGGTATTCACGCTCCTGTCCCTAATGCTGATTCTTGTTTTTGGAAGACATTCACAGAAGCTCCCTCAAAACGGGAGTGTGCCATGATACTTATGTTTGAAGTCGCCAGTGGAGGGTAGATAAAGGAACTGCCACTTCTTTAGTCTTTGACCTCTTGTCTCTCTTTTAGGTGTTGGTAGAAATTGACCAGGTCAAGTCCAGAATGCAGCTTGCGGCAGAGTCCCTTCAGGAAGCAGACAAGTGGAGCACACTGAGTGCTGATATTGAGGAGACCTTCAAGACTCAAGTAGGTCTTGAGTTTAGGGGATGTCTGCAGGCTGGGTAGGCAGGCGCTTGAGGTTTGGAGAAACAAATGAGAAAGTCCTTTCCTCGAATCCACAAGGGATAGGAAGAAGCCCTGCATGGGAACACACAGGCAAAGGGTGGAAAGACCTGCAGTTGCTCTGGGTCTTTACAACCTCTGGAGTTGGTATCTTGACTGATGGCCTTCTCGTCACAGAGAGTTCAGGAGAAACCTCAGTGAAAAAGGCAGAGAAAATGGATAAAATGAGAGTGTGGACCACAGGCAGGGGCCCTTCCACATCCTGGGACCCTCCAGGACTGCCAACTGTGGGAAATAGCAATGCTTTTTGATACCCGGTTATCAGGATGAGGTCAGGTGATGTCTCATGAAAAACTCTTTCAGTTGTTAAGCAAAATGAATTCTTTTATTGTCTCTTTTGCTAGTTTTCTTTTTTTAAGATTTTATTTATTTATTTGACAGAGGAGACACAGCGAGAGACGGAACAAAGCAGGGGGGTGGGAAAGGGAGAAGCAGGCTTCCCACGGAGCAGGGAGCCCGATGCGGGGCTTGATCCCAGGACCTTGGGATCATGACCTGAGCCGAAGGCAGACACTTAACTGACTGCGCCACCCAGGCGCCCCTCTTTTTTTTTTTTTTTTTAAAGATTTTATTTATTTGAGAGATGGTAAGAGAGAGCATGAGCTGGGAGAGGGAGAAGCAGGCTCCCTGCTGAGCAGGGAGCCCAATGCGGGGCTCCATCCCAGAACCCTGGGATCATGACCCGAGCCGAAGGCAGAAGCTTAACTGACTGCGCCACCCAGGTACCCCCCACTTTTTGCTAATTTTTAAAACTCTCACAAGTTTTTTAAAAAGTGCTCGGTGCATGAGGGGAAAAAAATTAGTAAACAGGAATAAACGGTGAAAAATGTTTTTCTCGTAACCCTGACACCCCCGACACACACACACACACACACACACACACACACACACACACAATCCCTGCCCTTTTGCTCCCCGGAATGGCAGTGCATTGTGAACGCTGCTCTGCACTTTGTTTTTGTACTCTACAATCTAGTATTCTCTATTACTTATCTTTATCTGGGAGTGCAGGAGGGCCATACTCCTTCCCATTCCATTTCAGAGCCTCCTCTGGGCTCATGACAAGGTAATCGATGTAGGGTTCATGGATGTGAGCTGCAGTCTTCCTGGATTCCTGGCACGTGCGTGATTGCAGTCAGTACACTGCTAATATTAACTAGCTAAGAGTTAGAAAGCTTTTGCCCCTCCCAACTATCCCGATATTCAGAACCAGCTGCCGACAAGACCACATGCATCCGGCTGGACTCCCCCGCTAGGCACTGCAAACTGAATTCATTATTTCTGTCTAGAACCACTCCCCATTTGCTCTTCCCTTTGGCCTCCCTGTCTTGGTTGATGGCAGCACTTCCCCAGCAAGGGTCTAGGCTAGAAACCTCAGCGGTCCTTAACCGCGCTCTCGTCCCCGCCTCTCCCATATCTCGGCAGTTGTCCGTTCTTTGGACCCCTCTGCCACCACTCTGGTCACGCTTCCCATTGTCTTTCTCCTAAACCACTGCGGCAGCCACCCATCCCTGCTGGCTCCTGGCCTCTCACAGGCAGACTCACTTGCTCCCTCCCCTGGGCCCCGGTGGCGCCTGAGCCATACTCCTTAAACTACATCCTGATCTTGCTGTCCTAATATGTTGGGAATTCAGGGGCTGCAATGTGATCTTTTTTGTGTTTCAAACATCTAATACAGTGTCTGACACGTTGTAGACACCTGTTGAGTGCTGAAATGAAACACAATTACTACATTCTTAATTCTTTTAAAAAACAGCATTTCTTTTTTAAGATTTTATTTATTTGTCAGAGAGAGTACAAGCGGGGGAAAGAGAGAAGGAGGCTCCCCAACGCGGGGCTCAATCCCAGGACCCTGAGATCATGACCTGAACTGAAGGCAGACACTTAACCGACTGAGCCACCCAGGTGCCCCTGAAGGACCTGGGATCTTTTAAAATAAATATCCTCTATTCTGGTCTTTTATAGGACATAGCTGTGATTTCTGCTAAGCTGACAGGTATGCAGAACAGCTTAATGATGCTTGTTGATACACCAGACTACTCAGAAAAATGTGTGCACTTGGAGGCACTGAAGAACAGGCTGGAGGCCCTGGCCTCCCCGCAGATTGTGGCGGCGTTCACCTCCCAGTCTGTAGGTAAGTGCGGGCCCCTTCTCATCTCTGCACACCTCCTCACAAAGGTAAGGCTTTCCAAGTCTTCAGCCTTTTGAGCGTCTTACTGTGGATTAAATTATGTAGCTTGGAAGTTAAGTTGTAACTTTTTTGGGGTTGCCTTTTTTCAATAGTTTATATAAATATTTTCAAGCATACAGAAATGTTGAGATAAGCACACGACAAACACACCACCTAGATCCTAGTTAGGTGTTTTACCACATCTGCTTTGTCACACATCTACACACCCATCCATCTCTCTGTCCATCCAGGTTCTGTTTGGGATGCATTGCAAAGTAACTTATAGATATCGGCATACTTCACTCTTAAATGCTTCAGCATTCATATCAATAACTAGAGTTCAGTATTGCTTTATGATTCTCTTTTTTTGAGGTGAAATTTACTTTCAGAGAAACGCACATATCTTAAGTGTACTGTTTGACGAGTTTTGACCCTTGTCAAATATGATTTTTATTTCCTGAGACCTACTAATGTGGAAAATCATATTGATAGTATTCCTAATACCCTTTTATTCTTGCAACTCAAGAACAAGCTCCACATGGTTATGGGATGTCTGTGTGGGCGCACACACGTGTGTGTATGCCTGTTAATGTCCTACTGCGTATTTGCTAATATTTTATTTAGAATTTTTTCATAGAGGTCTTATTAGTGACTATCTTTTTCTTTTTTAAAGATTTTATTTATTTATTAGAGAAAGCGAGAAAGAGAGAGCACAAGCAGGGGGAGTGGCAGGCAGAGGGAGAAGCAGGCTCCCGAGGAGCAAAGAACCAGACACAGGACTCGATCCCTGCGATCATGACCTGAGCTAAAGGCAGATGCTTAACTGACTGAGCCACCCAGGCGCCCCACTCTGTTAGGTTTTAAGGAACATTTTTATCAAATATTGCCATGGCCCCATTAAATGCTTTCTGTCTGCTGTTCAACTTGGGTATGAATATTACAACTTCTGCCTTCTTTTTTGTTTGTACTCGCTTTAGTATGGCTTTACCCATTTTTTTTTTTTAACCTTCAAACTTTTTTTTTTTTTAAGGTTTTATTTATTTATTTGACAGAGACACAGCGAGAGAGGGAACACAAGCAGGGGGAGTGGGAGAGGGAGAAGCAGGCTTCCCGCCGAGCAGGGAGCCCGATGTGGGGCTCGATCCCAGGACCCCAGGATCATGACCTGAGCCAAAGGCAGACACTTAACCATCTGAGCCACCCAGGCGCCCCAACCTTCAAACTTTCTGAGATGTTTTTTTATTTTAGACTTGGCTATTGGAGATAGCACTTTGTTGAATTTTGATTTTTGATCTAATCCTTGTACTTTTTAATAAGTGACTTTATCCCATTTAGGTTTTATTTGACAGAAATTGTCAGTTTTGTATGTCTCTGTATTTTCTGCTTTATGTTTCTGTTTTCTTTGTGTTTTTTTTCTCACAGATGATTGAAAGATATATAACTTGATTTTAGTTTTTCTAGTGATTTATGATTTCAAATTATATTAAACTAAAGTTCTTTCTCAATTTATCAGCCTCCTGAAAGAAACACCATCTGCCTCCCCCAGTTAGTGTGCTTTAACTCCTCTTCCTGCTTTCCACCATCCCTCTTCCTTGGCCAGTCTACAAGATTGCATAGTCTAGAATTTTAATCATGGTACATTGTCAAATTATTCATTATTAATTTTCAAATTATTAGTTTTTTTATCATGTGGCTTTTCTCTCTAAACTTTTAAATATTAGAAAATTTTCATATTTGATATTTTATCTTTCATAACCGTTTTCTAACCAATAATTGGCTATTTATGCTCAATTTCTTGTTTAAACGGATTCAGTGCTCACTTTTAGACTTTTCAGCGCACATCTTCCCCGTTTGTTAATTCTTTGAGGCTTCTCTTCATGACCAGGATTCGGTTTTTTAAGTAGATTTTTTTCACCTCAGGAAGGGCATGGGGATTATATGCATATCCTCAGGGTTTATGTAGTAAAGAATGTCTTTCTGTTGCTTTTACATATAGAAGAAAAATGGCTCCTTTTGGAATTTTTGGATCACACTGTTTTTCCTGTGGAAATCTAGAAGCCTTGATTCCTTGTCTTCTGCCAACTGTATTTCGCTATAAACATGAGACTGGTCTGATTCTTTTTTTTTTTTTTTGGTAGTTAGTTTCTTTTCCTTGTAATAGTTAAAGCAGGGGTTAGCAAGCATTTTCTGTAAAGGGCCGGGTAGTAAATATTTTGGGCTCTCTGGGCCGTGTGCTGTCTGTCACCAATACTTAACTGCAGTTGTGGTGTGAAAGCCCGTGTGTAAATGAATAGGCTTCTCTGTGTTCCAGTAAAACTCTATGACAAAACCAGGTGGTGCTGTCGCCTGCTGGCTCATAGTTTGCTGACTTCAGGCTTATACAATTCTCTCTTTGGCCTTATAGTTTAGTTACTTCACTAGATTATTTTTCAGTTTGGGAAAAATATTTTTCTAGAACATAGTGTGAGCTCTTTTTATTTGCTGATTTGTGTCTTTCTCTGTTTCTAGAAAATTTCTTTCTTTTTTTTTTAAGATTTTATTTATTTATTTGAGAGAGAGAGAATGAGAGACAGAGAGCACGAGAGGGAAGAGGGTCAGAGGGAGAAGCAGACCCCCCGCTGAGCAGGAAGCCCGATGTGGGACTCGATCCCCGGACTCCAGGATCATGACCTGAGCCGAAGGCAGTCGCTTAACCCACTGAACCACCCAGGCACCCTAGAAAATTTCTTTCTTAAAAAATATTTTTTCTGTTCCATTTGTTTTCCATTTTTGAGAACATCAACTGTCTGTCCATCAGCTCTCCATTTCCCCCTCCTTTATGTTGTGTTCCCTCTGGTCTATTTTAGCTCTTTATCAACTCTCCCCACAGTCTTTTTTATTTTTCAAAAGATTGTTTTTCATTTCACTAATAGCATTCTCTTTCTTTCTTTCTTTCTTAAGATTTTATTTATTTATTTGAGAGAGAGATAGCAAGAGAGAGCACGGGTAGGGTGGAGGGGCACAAGGAGAGGGAGAAGCAGGCTCCCCGCTGAGCAGGGAGCCCGATGCGGGGCTCGATCCCAGGACCCTGGGATCCTGACCCGAGCCGAAGGCAGACGCTTAACCGACTGAGCCACCCAGGTGTCCCAAGTCCTTTGACCATTTTAAAATCGGGTAATTTATTTTTTATTGTTGCGTTGTAGGAGTTTGTTATATATTCCGGATATTAATCTCTGATCAGATATATGATTTGTATACTCCGATTCTGTGGGTTGTCTTTTCATTCTATTTATAGTGTCCTTTGATGCACAGATTTTAAATTTTGTTGTAGTCCAATATATCTGTTTTTAATTTTGTTGCCTGTGTTTTTGGTGTCACAAGTAAGAAACTATTGCCAAATCCAGTGTCATGAAATTTTTCCCATTTTCTTCTAAGAGTTGATAGTTTTAGCTCTTACATGTTGCTCTTTGATCCATTTAAAGTTAATTTTTGTATATGGTTTGGGTAGTATTACCGTCTTAACAGTATTAAGTCTTTCAGTCCATCAACACGGGATATTTTTTCATTTATTTGTGTCTTCTTTAATTTCTTTCAGCAGTGTTTTGTCATTTTCAGAGTACAAGTCTTTCAGCTCCTTGTTACATTTTTTCCTAAGTATTTTCTTTATTTTGATGTTACTGTAAATGAATTTTATTTCCTCTTCAGATTGTTCATTGTCAATATAGAAAAACAACTGATTTTTTTTTAAAGATTTTATTTATTCATTTGAGAGAGAGAGAAAGACAGAGAAAGCACAAGCAGGGCGAGAGGCAGAGGGAGAGGGAGAAGCAGTCTTCCCACTGAGCAGGGAACCTGACGTGGGGCTTGATCTCAGGACCCAGAGATCATGACCTGAGCCGAAGGCAGACGCCCAACCATCTGAGCCACCCCAGGTGCCCCAACACAACTGATTTTTGTGTGTTGATTTTGTATCCTGCAACTTTGCCAAATTCACTTATTAGTTCTAACAGGTTTTTTTGTGGAATCTTTAGGGTTTTCTGGTTATAAGATCATATCATCTGCAAACAAAGATAATTTTACTTCTTCCTGTTCTCTGTGAATGCTTTTAATTTCTCTTTCTTGCCTCATTGCTCTGGCTAAGACTTCCAGCACTAAGGTGAATAGAGGTGGCAAAAGCAGGCATTCTTGTCTTGTTCCTGATCTCAGAGGAAGAGTTTGAAATAGTCTTTCACCACTGAGTATTATGTTAACTGGGGGCTTTTCATATATGAAAATTTATTTATTATGTTGACATAGTTTGCTTCTATTCCTAGTTTGTTGAGTTATATCATGAAAAGTGTTGAATTGTATCAAATTCTTTTCTTTACCATTTGAGATGATTGTGTGGATTTTTTCCATCATTCTGTTAATATGGTATATTACATTGATTGATTTTCATACATTGAACCATCCTTGCATCTCAGGAATAAAGTCCACTTGGCTATAGAGTATTATCCTTTAATGTGCTGCTGATTTTGGTTTGCTCGTATTTCATCAAGGATTTTTGCATCACTGTTCATCAAGAATGTGGCACCTGGGTGGCTCAGTTGGTTAAGTGTCTGACTCTTGATTTCTGCTCAGGTCATGATCTCAGGGTCATGAGATCGAGCCCTGTGTTGGGTTCTGCGTTGGGTGTGGAGTCTGCTTGAGCATTCCACCTCTGCTTGAATGCACGTGTGCTCTCTCTCTCTCAAAAAAAAAAAAATCATCAGGGATATTGGTCTGTAGGTTTCTTTTCTTGTATTGTCTTTGTCTGGCTTTGGATCGGCGTAATGCTGGCCTTGTAGAATGAGTTAGAAAGTGTTTCCTCCTCTTCAGTTTTTTTGGAAGAGTTTGAGAAGTTACTGGTATTAATTTTTCTTTAAATGTCTAGTATATTCACCAGTGAAGCCGTTTGGTGTGCTTTTCTTTGTTGAAGGGTTTTTGATTACTGATTCAATCTCCTT